GCCACATCACCGGGCCCAGCCCAGCCCAGCCGCCATGCATTATCGAACTCTCGAATACGATCGAGTGCTGCTCTCCCGGGCGCCCCGGTAAAGCAGCCGTATCGGCAGCACTCGGCGGAGATATTTAAATTCTCCCGCGTGCGGTGCCCCTTCATGCATTTTGTATCGAGGCATTGAGCGTGGCTTTATAATGGATGAGCGTGAGCCCGTGTTCTTCTTATTTAGGGCTCAAGTGGTTTCTGCGAGTGGACCGCAGGCAAACAATCATGCGCATAATTGAGTTGGGATACACAATTCCGTAAAAACGACGCTCCTCATTGGGTTTTGTGACGTCGTCAGAAGAACGCTCGGTTCCCTAACTCCCCTCTGCCCTGCCGACGCGATACACCCAGCGGGCAGATATGGGGCGGCAGGTGGCCGAATAGGAAATGGGGTGCAAATGAGGCAGGTGTGTCGTCCCCCGGGGATGTACCAAACCCAAACCACCACCGCGAACGTGTTGACAGCGCACCGTGACTCTCCGCAAAAAAAAACTCACGTGAGGGAACGAGCAGCAGGTGGACCCAATGCTGCCTTTCCCACCCTTATTTTCCGTTTTGTGTGGCCAAGACACACGCACTCACACACGTACGGAGGCTCGGGTTCCTTTTTTTTGTTCCACCGAGTTGTCACCGTTGGCAGCGCTGCGTCCATCGTCCCCTCATTGTATGGACTTCCCCCGGTTCTACATGTGCTAGTTCCGAGCCCCGCGCACGCTACAACGCTACATCGCGGGCGGGATGCTGCAACGACTGGTTGCACTTAAGGGATATTACAGAGCGGAGACAATGCTCGTAGGGGAAGAGGCGGGCCGGGAAACAAGAAATAGAGAAGAAAGAACCACTTGGCGTTCGCTCGGATTCGCAGAGTGAACGCTCGAAAGGACCCGTTATTACATTCCCCGCGCGCCGGCATCTATTTAGCGCTTACAAACGCGTTCTCATCAGCGCCGCGCCACTCTCGGACACAAAGCTTTCTCAGCAGGTTGTAACGAATTAAACCACCGCGCTGGTGTGATATTGCGCTGCCATCTCGTGATGAAAACTCTTATTCCCCCTTTATATTTGCAGCCCGTGTTATTTGTGTGACCTTTGGGCGGTCTCGTCCCCTCCTCCCCTTTCTTCACTCCCCTGTGCGTCGCTGCCTGCGGCGTGCGCGGGGAGAGCCCCCCACCCCCTCCCTCTGCACCCGTGGGGTTGCGGGGGCCTCCTCGGGCCTGGTCCCGTGCGCCGCAGAAGGGGCCGCGCGAATCGCGGTGGAGATCTCTCTGCGCCGAGCGGGGACTGGGAGTCCCACAGGCGCCAGCTGTTGTGGAAGTAATTAATTACGGGGCTTCATTGATTCGAGTGCCGCACCTCCTCCGCCAAAACGTCAATTTCGTCGCCAAGAAAAGCGGTGGAGCGGTCGTCGGCATCGACGTGCTCATTGTGTGGGCCTCTGTTGGCCACCTTAAAAGGGAGCAGTCTTGGATCTTGTATATATCCTTGGAACAAGTTAAATATCCTTGGAACTAGTCAATCCTTGATCTATTGCTAGGAAATTAATTCGTTCCAAGGATATTTCCGTGCTTCAAGAACCTCGTTTTTGGGGTGTGGCTACTTATCGCCGATGCAATGTTTTTAGTCTGCTCTTTGGGCCTGGGAAAGATGTGTGTGCTGCTCGCGAGGCTGTCGGGTCGGGCACCCCCCAAAGCCACCATAATTGCCAAATCGTTTTGTCGCCTAAAAATATCGTGGTGACTTAAGTTTCGCAATTACTGGACACCTTCTGGTTTTCCGTGTCACGGTCGATTCTTATTGGGTCCGCCCAGCTACTGGCTAAAGTCGTCTACCAGGCAATGGCGCGAGTCTTGGGGTGGGCGCGAGCGCCTGTTTCGTAACAAATGAGCCTGGCGATCACGAAGAGACATTGACAAGGGTCCAGCCACACCTGTGATGCCGTGCATTGATTGCCCGATTCTATCTTACTTTGCCGTCTATCGTACTTACCAAGTTGTTGTCGGCGACGGCACCGCTCCAAAGTTTGCGCGACAAAGTTTGTGGCAGTTGGGGTGTGTGTGTCCAGCGCTATGGCTATCTCGATGAGAAACTCGCCAAGGCTCGATAGATAGTGACCGCTCGGGGTCACTGCGCGCGCCTGCCCCAGTAACCTGCGGTCGCCTTCGGGTCGCCTACGCCCTCGCAGCTTGGACAGATTTCTCCTCATTCGTGCAAGCTCACAAGCGCATCGGTTTGTCAATTACGTCACGAGATCTGTTTCTCCACGATAGAAAGTAGCCATTGATAGCCATCAGTGTGTACTTCAATGTTTTGTTTAAAATGTCACTCTACATTTCAATAGATGACACGAACATAGACACAGGATATAAATGATTCGTCAGCAAGTAGACTTTATTTTATTCATTTTCATTACCAAGGTTTTTTTGAATTTTGAATGTTCCAGATGACTTTCTAACGCCGCACAAGAACCAGACGATGGCTGCGCACCTGGACGCCACCTACCTGCAGTCGCTCTACTGGGACTTCAATGGCACCTTCCACCTGTCCAAGTTCGACGATTTCGACCACACCGCCTTCGACGGTAAGTTTGCGCGGCGGGCACAGGCTCGAGTACCACCCTGTTTGCCTGAGTATTTTTATTTTTCTTCCGCCCCGTTTCCGATGGGGCCGGACGCTGATCGGTTACGCACGCTGCAGCCGGCTGCCTGCCTGGGTAGCTAGCGGGATGGAAGGCTACGAGGTGTCTGATTCAATTTTCGTCCAACCGATCCGATGCGATACCAACGTGACTCTACTGCGGATCACCACCCAGTGACCTGGAGAGAGGGGGACCGAAGATCGTGCGGGAGGAGAGGGAAGGGAAGAGGGTATCTCACCCCCACCGACTCAAGGCCAGTGGCATCACTCGCTGACGCTGCTACCCGCCCACTTCTAGCAGCAGCCGATCAAAAACACCATTAAAAATTATTCTCAGAGAGAAGAGTCGCTATGCTACCCTTCATTTTTGTTTTTTTATTTTCCCTCTTACTAACGTGCAGTCTCCGAACTCGGAGTCGAGTGGTTTGACAGCAAGTTTGTCCCAATGTGAACGGCTAAGAGCTGCTGCTCATGCGGGTTATCCTGCTTTAGCCAGCCGTCCGGGTGCGGGGCTCAACCAGTTCGAGTTGTTAAAAGTTATCATACCGCCGTCCTTGCGTGTCGCCGGCGTGCCTGCGAGTGAAGAAATGGGTCGGGCTTCGCCGCGTGCGTCGCAGTATACAGTGTCAACTGTATTTGCTCCATTTCTCGTGCCGACAAGTATCTTATTCTCCATGTCGTTGAGATCCACCGTATAAATTTTAGTAGCGTGAAGTAATCATTTCGTGCCAGGAGCAAAGCTGGGAAGTCTTCTGCCTGGAGGGGAAAGGCTTTCCCACTGCATACCTCGCGCAGTCTCTTAAAACGCCAGGCGAGTTCCTTGAAGAACGGCATGCTCTGCTGATAATTAACTAGGACCTCAACAGTCGCGAGAGTTTGTTTTGCACTGCACACAGCTGCACCCTAGCAGGTCCGTCGTGGGCATTGGCATTACGTGGGCGTGGGCAACATGGACACGTGGAACCCCCACCCCCTTTTCCCCATTTCTCCGGTCCCCATCCTCTCCTGTCGTGCTCTCGTGTCGCATTGGTGTCTCCGCTGGTCGTGCTCTCCTCCCCCCCCCCCTTGCACTCTTACACTATTCAAGTCTCCATACGTCTCGTCTCTCTCTCTCTCTCTCTCTCTCTCTCTCTCTCTCTCTCTCTCTCTCTCTCGTCCTCTCGCAACCCGACGGCGCACCCTGTTATTAACTTAAGCTGCCGGGCAATATTGCAGAGTTTGCGCGCGCGTGTGTATATGTGGTGAGGGAGAGGGGAAAGAAACGGTGTTGTCAGACTCGAGACCGGCACCTTGTAAAAATAGATGGGGAAAAAGAACGAAAACATACACATTTTTTATGTATTTACAAGTGTTCAACTGTAAATTTGAACACTTGAAGTGTCCACAGCTTAAGGCCAACCTCAGAGTTGCATACTTATATTAATGGTCAACTTTTCTATGGAACACATTTAGTATGCAGATATCCAGTGCACTCAACACTTAAAAGTGTGCAACGTAGTGCTGAGCACTTGCATGTGCACGCCAGTTCAACAATTTATTTATCAGTGAAGTCCCGCATTTTCTCCCCCTTCGGTGGGGCTCCGGTGGTGCCGCCGTGCCGGCGTGAGGGGTGGTAAAGACTGGGGAAAAGAAACAGAACGCGGTCGAATGTCGTATGGGATTGATCCCGCTCCTGTGTGGACCTGAGCACACAACAGCGACTTGTCTGCACGTCCGCTGGGGAGAGAGGGAGAGAGCGATCCGACGAGAGGTACGAAAAAACGCTGCAGCCAATTTATTTCCTGTCTTTCTTGAAGACAAAGAGGGGAAGAGAAAACAAAGTGGGTTTTGCGCTTTGCGATTTTGGTTTCTAGTCTTCACCCACAGAACTCCGAGTCCTGGAGTTTTCCAGCTGTGCCCTTGAAGAGGAAGTCATTATAGAATTTAAATTTTCCATGATATTGTCGTCTACTTACAGCATGAACTTGATTTTTGTTGAAATATAATGCGAGTGATGGTTTGCAGTGGGTAAAGGAACGCGCGCTCTGGGTTTTGTCCCGGCTGGCGAGGGTCTGACCGCGGGCACGTGACGTTAAGTGAAACCCGTGTCTGTGCGCTCCATCCCCCCC